CTTGAGGTGCAAATTGTGATATATTGTGATATTGATACGCATGCGGTGGTATAAGGTCTGGGTGTTGAAACGCATGCGGTGAGATAAGGGTGGCTTGATACGCGTGGCTAGTAGGGGTGACTACTAGAAGTCATGCGGTGTGATAAGGGTGGCTAAAACGCGGGATGCTATTTCGAAAAAAAAATGTTTTCTTTAAATAAATTGTGAAGGCTCCCGCGGTGATATAAGGACATGAGATATTGTGAATTTATTTATGATTTGGGACTTCGAAGGCGGTACCTCGGGAGTGCCCTTGTTGATATTGATTTATGGCCATAGTTGCTTTCGATTAATTGTTGTGATTTTCATAAAGTTGAAGGAAATTTTGTTTTGATTTCACGAGATATTATTTGTAATTATTTGATGTCATTAAATGTGACATACTATTTGATTCATTTTCAATGTCATTTTATTTTACTACATTGATAAACATTTTACCATACCATTATTATATTCCTGTAGGGTCTCACCTGACCTCGTCACTACTCTACCGAGGTTAGGCTTGGCACTTACTGGGTATCGCTGTGGTGTACTCATACTACGCTTCTGCACATCTTTTTGTGCAGATCCAGGTACATTTTACCAGCCTAGACGTTAGTGAGTTGCCTGCGCACGGAGACTTCGAGGTATATCTGCCAGCGTCCGCAGACTCCGGCGTCCCCTTCTATCATTTTATGTTGCTTCCTTATATTTTATTTAGACCTTGACATATAGAGACATTGAGAATAAATTCTTAGAAGCTTGTGACTTATTTCTACCGGGTTTTGGGAGTTGAAATTGTTTGAATTGTAGTTTATTTATTTCAGATATTTATTAGTATTCCGCATTAATAGGCTTACCTAATTTTAGAGACTAGGTGCCATCGCGACATCCAACGGAGGGAATTTGAGATCGTGACAGCCACCTAGAATAATTTTAGGTTGTTTTCTTCTATTTCTTTATAACATGAATAAATAAAGTTATAATTTAAATGCTAAAATTGAAGTTGGAGATAATATACATCCTAGTTCGGACCATAGGAATAATCTGGGTCGAACACGAATTCATGATTTGGAATTTGGACAAAAAGAATTATTCATTGAACAGCCTAAAAGAAAAACACTACTCCTAATAACAAAAGAGCATCCTAACCTAAAAGCTTCTCGCTTCTTTTTTACTAGTCCCATTTAGCCCGTGCTGAGCACGTGCCCAATAATTTGAAGCTCAAATATTTAAACTCTTAGTGATTGTTTGGAAAGTTTTTATGTAATTGAATTTGAGTGTAGTTTATTGTAATTACACAATTTAATATATTTGTCTGTACATTTAATTACTTAGTCCACATAAAATTATGCATAATTAAAATGAGGTAACTACACTTTGCAATTATCAAAGGCGATAATAAATTTATGGTAATAATATAGTATAATTACCATATGATATTTCAAATCTTATTTTTTTAAATATATTTTAAAAAAATTATTTTTCTCCTCAGATTTGTCTCTCGAAGCGTACTTCTTGCTCCTAATTCTAGCCCCGGTGCTCCTTTTGCCTTTTTTCTGCCTACTGCATACTTTCTCTTACTGTGATTTTTTTTAACCCTTTTTATTGTTTTATATATAGAGTTTTCTTGCCGCTAGTGCAATTGCTTGTACTCCTTCTTCCCCTTTTTCTCCTTCTAGATGGACTAATAAATAATGTTTATTTTTTTAATTGCTTGATCATGTAAGATTTCAATAATAAAGTAAAAATTACGATGTTGACAGACAATATATATGCAATGTAAGAGATAACTCAATAGAATTGATGCCAATAAATTTATTAGAGATTATTTTAATGACAGAAAATATTTTAGTTGCCAAGAAAATATTTGTGTAAATTATTGTGACAGAAAATAATATTTTAGTTGCCAAGAAAGAACCAACAAAGAAGTACACTTTTGAGATAATTAAAGTAAAAAAATCATATTTAGATATTAAAATTTATGAAGTATTATTTTTTTGAGTAAATAATACTAAATATCACATATTAGTTACTCTGATCAATCAATACTAAAACAATATAAATCAAACGAAGAAATAGGAAAGATAAATGGGACCTCCGGGTGCATCACTGAACGATTAGGGAAAAAGTTGGGTGGGGTAGGACGTGGGGCCCACGTGAGGGATTGGAGTGTAGAAGTGTGTGTGATGTTTGATGACCTAAGCCCAGGGGTAATTTAGTCAAAACACTCAAAGATTATGTTGAAGCTACAGTAAAGTTCTTTTTTAAGCAATCATATTGCTCCATTTTAACCGAAATTACCAAAGCGCCCTTTTGGTGCCAAGCAGGCATGTTGACCATCAGCTGCTTATCGTCTCTTATATATGGCCAAACCCATAAGCGGCCCCTTAAAATTGGATCCACTTTTCATTTTGACACCTTTACTCAAATTTTTTTCATTTTGACATTTCAACTCATTTTCTCACGTGCCACTTAAACACAAAGCATGACCAGTTAAAAATACAAAGAGAGTGTAATTCACAAGCTGCTTATGTGGCAAAACAACAAATGAAATGATGACATGTGGCATTTGTTCCCAATTAATTTAAAGATAAATTTTGAGGAAAAAAAAAGAAACTATATTTTTCAATTACCCCCACCCCCGTCATCTTCTCCGCTCACCCCATCCTCTGGTTCTATCATATTCCCACAACCACCAGAGCTTTCACCACCGAAATCTTCACTGGTTTCAATAAGAAATCTTCTATCACTGGCTTCAAGTTGTCATTTCACTTAGATAATTTCTCTCATTTCTCGAATTTATTTTGCCTTCAAATTTGACAATCATTTTTTATTTAGTTGATTCACTACAATATAGAGAACTGATATTTTGCATATCTGCATCAAGAAATCAAAGATGATATTCTTACATAACTAATGAATTTAACCAGTTTTAATTGGAAAGAGAAATCTATTGACATTATTGAATTTTGTAACATAGTTTTGTGCTCTGATGTTTCTGGATATCATAAATAGGGGTTACCCAGACTTGCTCATTTTTTATGTAATGATGGAGAAAAGATTTACAAGGACCGCGTACACAGTTTCGTCGTTTATTTATCATATTAGTGGACATAGAAGTGAGAGGGAGGGGTAAGGGAAAATGAGGGTGGCATTCGAAGGGTTGGTGGGTAGGGGAAGGTCAGAGGTGATGGCTGAGAGAGAGAGAGGGAGGAAGCAGAAAGAGAAATAAATCAAAAAACAAAAAAATGCAGCTTTCCACGCGCTCAAAAGAGGTGCAAATCACACAATGTGACAAGCCAGCTTTTCGTGTTTAAGTGGCACATAGAGGAATGAGTTAAAGTGTTAAAATGGAAAAGGCTTGAGTAAAGGTGTCAAAATAAAAGGCGGAGCCAACTTTAGGGGGCCGCTTCTGGGTTTGTCCCTTATATATTAGTAGTAGATATACCGCAAATGGCTAAATATATTCTTGTACTATGAGAAAAGGTTTAAATATAGAAAAATTAACTCAAATAACTGCTCATCTAATCCCTTAAACTAAAAATAGTCGGCGAAAATATAATTAATATANAAAAAGTAAATATTGAATCTGGTCGGCTATTTGTGTAACAATCCCTTAAATATACTTTTCGTTATACTTTGGGTCTAAATATACCCCTGTTGTAATACTATTGATTCAAATATACCACTCTTCTATTAAGTTTGTCTAAGGTGAACATCCAATCTTACGTGACACTGATATTTGATGAGGTGGATGTCACATGACATGCCACCTCAGTGCCCCTAATTCATATATAAAAGACTAAAATTTGAAATACAATATTTTCCATGGTAGCGACAATAGTGCAATAATGATGGAGGAGAAGAAAATTTTAGTGGTAGAAAAAAATAAAAGGAAAAGGTAAAATGAGTTAAGGGTGTTGAGGTGGCAAGCCACGTGGCATCCACCTTATCAAATGTCAGTGTCACGCAGAATTTGATATCTACCGTGGACAAACTTAACAAAAAAAATATATATTTAAATCAAAAATATAATAAAAGAAGTATATTTGAACTAAAAGTATAACGAGGGGTACATATAAACTTTATTTCCTAATACTAGAGTACATTTGACCTTTTCCGTTTTATGTATAACCTAATTCCTAATCCTAAAATAGAAGATGTGGGACATACATTATATACAAGTTGAGAAAGGGGAACATCGATTGTTACAGAGAGATGTGTTTAAAAAGCTGACAAGTGTAAGATTGTGCTCTCCGCTTTTGCCAAGTAATCCGTGGTTGGTTTTATCCGCTTACCAGTCACGCAAATCAAGAGGTACACCGTCCGTTTCAACTCAAAGTGGTTGACTGGTGCAGTGGCCACCTAGAGACTAGAGAGTATTACTCACTTCACTTTTTAATTCGGAGGTATATTAAAAATAAATTTTTATTTTTATACATATATTAAGAAAAGATTTTTTTTTATTTTACCCTTAATTTATTAACTAATATTTCTTGAATAAATAATAATTAATTATAGTTTTTCAATGTTTAATATTGAAATTCACAAATAACTTTTTATTATCACCCTCCGTTAAATACAAAAGTCCATTAAATTTATTTTTAATTCTTTTATTCTTTTTTTCTTCAGAAGTTATTTGGGATTTTGGATTCAATTATTGAGTATCAATTAATAGAGTTATTGTGATAAAATTATCATGTAAATAATTATTTCTTAAAAGACCTGAAAAGTCAAAATGTGCGAAATAAAAGTGAATGGGAGGAGTATATGTTTGTTGAATATATTTTTTATTAACTAGAGCTTGTATGTATGTAATGTTCCAACAAAATTTATATTGCAATAACGTCAATTGTGCGCTACAAACACACTTACAAATTCATATTGTTTTATCTTAAACGATTACTGAGTTGCTTACAGGAAATTTTTTGATTTAAATGACAATTAAAAAAAAAAAGAAAAACATAAGTACATACACATGCAATACCACTAGACTGTTCTCATAAATCTTCTCCCCCGTTGTATCAAACCCTTCCACCAACTCTGAATCCACTACACTCTTCTACAAAGCCCTTCAATCACTCAGTCAGATCGGACTTCGCTCCTCCTCTCATTTCTCAAAAATCATGGGTATTTCGATTCACTTTTCCTTTTTCTTTTCCTGGTTTCGCACACGAATTCTTCTTTTTACATCATGGACTCTGATTAATTAATCCTTTTGCTTTTCTTGTTTCTACTCTCACAGCCAAGGTTAAGATTGGAATTAACGGTAAGAGTTTGTGCTCGTCAAGTGAATTTTATCTAGCTTTGTTAGGTAATTTCCATGTTTTTTTGCTAAGATCGGTTTTGAAATATTGTTCTCATGATTTAGGATTTGGAAGAATTGGGCGATTAGTGGCCAGGGTTGCTCTCCAAAGAGATGATGTTGAGCTTGTCGCAGTTAACGACCCTTTCATCTCTGTTGAATACATGGTACTTGTCCCAAAAACCAGAAACGAAAATTTCAATAACTTCATTAATAATCTTGTGAAAGCTTAATTAGTTGATGGGTTATGTATGTCGGTGTTGTAGACATATATGTTCAAGTATGATAGTGTACACGGCCAGTGGAAGCACCACGAGCTCAAGGTTAAGGATGACAAGACCCTTCTCTTTGGTGAGAAGGCTGTTACTGTTTTTGGCTTTAGGTACTAATATTTGTCTGTTTACCATAGAGATTGCTTTAAAAATTTCTTGGGTCGAGCAGAATTCGTGATTGAACTTTCTTGGAATATGTGAAGGAACCCAGAGGAGATTCCATGGGGCCAGACTGGAGCAGATTACATTGTGGAGTCGACTGGTGTCTTCACTGACAAGGACAAGGCTGCTGCTCACTTGAAGGTTTGTAATCATTTTTAAATTGGTCTCTGTTCTTAACTGATGTTCCTTGTTTTAAATTATATAAGGAAAAAGTTCCACAATTATGTGCATTGTGTTTGTATGATCGTCAAGTTAAACATAATCACTCTGTATTACTGATGTTAATTGATGTTTGACGAGTACAACTTTTATTGTGATGATATACTGAAAACAGCATTGCAAAATTGGTTTCAGTGATGTTAACTGATGCTTGATGAGTACATCTCTTATTGTGATGACATACTGAAAGCAGTATTACAAAATTGGTATTAGTGATGTTAATCATTGCTTGATGTGTACATCTTTTATTGTGATGAACGGAAGATCTATACCTGCATTTTGGTGAGCACGCTAGCACCTATATATAAATGATATTATAAGTATTTTCTTGGCAAGAACATTAACTTTTACAGAACATTTAATTTCGAGCCTTGGTGCAACTAAAGCAATTTAACTTTAGATAAAGCATATCTGATTGTTGAGTCAAATTAAGGACTCTGAATTAACATGGTATAGTGGTTACTACCCACCTCGGGCTTTGTATGCTAATTGCTAGTTGCTACTAATGCTATGATAGTTGGATTAATTGATTATTTTTCCTTTCGGCCTTAGCTTGAGTTGTTATCAGTGAATTAAGGGAGTTAATATATGCTCAACTTTTGTGAATCATCAGGGTGGTGCCAAGAAAGTCATCATTTCTGCCCCTAGCAAGGATGCTCCGATGTTTGTTGTCGGTGTCAATGAGAAAGAATACAAGCCCGAGCTCAACATTGTTTCAAATGCTAGCTGTACCACAAATTGCCTTGCTCCCTTGGCCAAGGTTCTACCCACCCGATTCTTCAAATTTGTTTTTTGTGTCATTGCATAACATGGATACGAGAATGAAACAACGTGTCACAATTTCTCATGTCATTCTGCAGGTTATAAATGACAGATTTGGAATTGTTGAGGGTCTCATGACCACAGTCCACTCCATCACAGGTAAGGGTAACTCTTGCTTTTACTTTTAAATATATTTCATTTGTAGCTTGCTCACTCAGTTCTGCAACCTGTTTTATATTATTTCAGCCACACAGAAAACTGTTGATGGGCCATCAGCCAAGGACTGGAGGGGTGGAAGAGCTGCATCATTCAATATTATTCCCAGCAGTACTGGAGCTGCCAAGGCTGTTGGGAAAGTCCTACCAGCATTGAATGGAAAGTTAACCGGAATGGCTTTCCGAGTCCCAACTGTTGATGTGTCCGTGGTTGACCTCACAGTGAGGCTGGAGAAAGAAGCTACCTACGATGAAATCAAGGCTGCCATTAAGTAAGCTTGTTGTCTGTACTTAATTTTCACAAGGGCACTAGTATGTGCAAGTCATTTTCCCCTTCCCCTCAAGGATTCTGTTATCGCATCAATAGTAGTTTGTAATGATGTATCTGTTAGTCCAAAATTATTCTTTTGGAGCTGCTAGATTGTATTGAGTTGCTAACGTTTGCATTGGTATATAACTTCTAAAGGGAGGAATCTGAAGGAAAATTGAAGGGAATTCTAGGTTACACTGAAGATGATGTGGTGTCCACAGACTTCGTGGGAGACAATAGGTGAGTTTGGGATTTTGAAGTGTTTCATGAACTATTTTCTCTCCATTTTATGTTCCACGAGCTCCACTAAAGTTCTTGCATGAACCTTGTCTACTGATCCACTTTGATCTTGCTCTTCTAATCAGACTGATCTGTATTTCTGAATGGAAATAATTTGCAGATCAAGCATATTTGATGCCAAGGCTGGAATTGCTTTGAGCAAGAATTTTGTTAAGCTCGTTTCGTGGTATGGGGTTACAGGTAAAAACATAAGAGATTGTGTATATTTATTCATTATCATTCCAATTCAGTATATGCTCTGCGTGACTGCATTGTGTTAAGAGTTTTGTGATCTGTACCTTCCTGCTAATAGTAATCCTTGATGGAATTGCAGCACACGAGTGGTGGACTTGATTAAGCACATGGCATCAGTTCAGTAAAAGTGGCAGTTTACTCATTGGTGGCCAAGTGTAGTGGTGCTGCTGTGAGGAGTCTGTTATTTGTTACTAGATAAAGCAGTTTAGAATAAAGTACTCACTCGGACTACAAGTGAGCGGCTCTTTGATGTAATTTAGGGATATCTGCACTCTTGGATATGGTTTGAGGTCATCAATTGGGTTGTTGTAGACTTCCCCACACATTCCGAGACCCAGTCTTTGCAACTCTGGATATGTTTCTTGTTTTTGTTGTGTTATGAATGTGTAATAAGTTTGGACCTTGCTTGGTGCTCTTTCTTTCTCGTCTCCCTTTCCCCCAAATAAAGGAAAAACAAGATCACACTTACGAGTTATGACGTTCTGGCAAAGGAACCTGGTGCTTAGCCAACAGGTCCCAAGTATAAAATGCACGTCAGGTTCCTTAACAGCCCTGGAAAGCCAATGGGGAGAAGCTCAAGTAACCAAAATGTCTGCGGCCTCGTTCTCTTTTAAGCTTTAACTTGTTTGGTTGAGAGCTTAGGTGCTTTAACAACTAATAGTAGCAGAGCAGTTGTGTGGTAGATGAAATACTGAATTGACGTTTTGAATATATGGAGGTCGGGGTTCATTTAGCTCGTATTGTCCTTTTTAGCTAACGTTTAGCTCCCATTTTGGCTTCAATTTTTCAAATTTTATTTGAAAACATTGTTTGCAAAATGATCATGTTTTAGAAAGAAAAAAAATTCAAAATTTTTGTAGTTTCGCAGTTTTTGAGTGAAATTTTTTTCTACTGCTAAAAAATCTTCAATTTTTCTTTAAATAAAATGTATATCCAAACATAATTTAAAAAAATCCTTTTTCAAGTTTCAAACAAATCTATATTCAAACCAGGCCCAGATATGAAGAAACGTGAACTGCGCTCACTATTACACGGCCGTGAAAGCCCAAGCACGGACGCAGTCAGAATTACGCGTCCGCAAATTCACTACGGACTTCCAAATAAAATTCCGATCATGCTCCTAAGTCCAAAATCACCATACGGAGCTGTTGTAATCATCAAAATTCTATTCCGGGGTCGTTTTCTATTATTTTTTTGTTCTTTCTTTGTTTCGGTTTATTTTTTCACTCAATTTATTTATGATTTTGATCGAATCCGATGAGCGCCTACGTATCATGGCGCCGCATGAATCAGGTCATTACGTAGTTCAAGAATATTTGGAAAAGTTGTGAGAAACAAAGCCAGATTAGTTGCTCAAGGATACTCTCAACAAGGAGTCGACTATGACGAAACCGGGGTCAAACGAGCCAGGGCCGTTAGGACCGGTTTTAGTGGCCCTGGGGCCGGTCCTATATTTTGGGCCCGCCAAGGACTAGACCGGTCCCCTCGCAGGTCAAACGGTCCCAACAGTCAAATAAAATATATATCCAAACATAACTTTAAAAAATTATTTTTCAAGTTTCAATCAAATCTATATTCAAACCTAGCTTAGTACTTATTTCTCGGTTTGGGGTAAAAGTTCTCTTTTTTAAACAAGAGTTTCATCACGTATTCTGCTTAGTTGCGTAACTCGCAGTGGACTAGCTAACTCCCCAAAAAACACTGTTTTTAATATTTTGACAGCAAGATAAAATTGGAAAAATTCTCCAAATAATTTGAGGGAACAAAATCCATTTCAATTTCGAATTTCAAAATGGAGAGTACGATATTTCTGCTGGACAAAAACAGTTGAAAAACAAAATATAAATTGAATGCTTCATTTCAATTTCAAATTTGAAAATGGAGAATAAATGATATTCCTCTGTTGGACCAGAACTGTTCTTTACAGTCAGTTTGAGATTTCCCTCTCCTTCCCTCACCCCCAAAATCTGGTTTAAAGTAGCATTTGTTTAATACCAAAAGACTAATGTAATCAAGGAATATTTCTTGGTCATAGCTCTGCATTAGTTGGTCAAATGTCACATTAATATCTGAGATTACAATTGAAGGTGTAAAACCGTAGGATAATATTTTATTACTGCAATTCGATTAATTGGGAGATTCTCATATATTTCTCATGTTCGTGTTTTCCGTCTATTAATTATTGTTAATTATTGGTCGCATTATTGTGAATTAATAAATTAATTATGACACAAATTTGATTGAATATTTTAGTGTGGACTAATAAGTCATTCAACTGTATCATTTCAAAATTTCTCCAATTTCGATACCTCCGCCAAATTTTCTTCTTCATTCTTCCTAATCATATACTCTTCTCTCTCTCTCTGAGCTGTTTCATCAAAACTCCATTCTCAGAAAACCCTCTACACCTCACTTCTCAAGTTCAAACCCTAACTCCATCCTTTTCTCTCTCATTAAAATACATTTAATTAGGTACACGGGCAAGACGCTCCACTATAAACAATTGATATTTGATTATTTTTAATCAAAATCGTTTTTGAATGGTTCTTCACTGATGGCGTCATCGGCGTTCAAATCCACTACTCGGAGAACCACCGTAGGTGGAAGTCCTGCCGGAGCCGACGACTCCTCCGGCTCCTCTAGTAACAAAGCTCATCGCCGTTCTAGAAGTCTGAGCCGATTCTCCCACGGGCCTCGGCGCTTTGAGGAGCCTGCGCAGGCTGACTTAGGCTACAATGCTGCTCCGCGTGGGAAATTTGTTAATACGACTAGAGGATCGGGAGTTCCTGAAATTAGCCTTGATGATTTGGCTATAGAATTCTTCTCTCAGGAGGAGGAGAGAGAAAATAGTGACCGTGGCCGGTCAGGAAAGCGTGCGTCGGGGATTGGGCATTGGGCGAGCGAAACGGCGTCGTCGACGAGGCGGGGTAGGTCAGTGTCGAGGCAGGGTTCGAAGACCTCTGCTAGTGATCGGAAAAGCGTTACTGCTGATCGTTCCCGGAGTAACATAGCTACTTCAGATGCCAGTTCGAGAAGGAGGAGGTCCGTTTCTGCTGTTCGTTATCAGATTAGCGACTCTGAGGTGAAACTTTTCTGCCCTTTCCTTCGCTTTTTGTCTATTCCTAAACTTTGATTAGGGAGTAGAACTGGAACATACCTCTACAACTGTTGGAGTGCTTCAAGTAATTTCACCAAAGAGAATGTTAAACTAGGAGCATCGTTTGGAAATGATTGAGATTTGCAAAAAGTAGTATTTGATGTTGAAGTTGAAACAGGGTAATTGGAATTTGAAGTTGTGTTTGGACACGAAAACCAAGTTGATGTTTTGTGAATGATTATTTGAAAAAACTTGAAAAACTCCTAAAACTATTTATATGGAAGTCTTTCACTTCTCTTCCCCTTTTTTAGTTTGTGTGGAGGCGAAGAGGGAGGGATGAAATTGAATTTAGCTCCAATGGACTAGGGAGGGATGAAACTGAACTTAGCTCAAATGGACTAAGTAATATACAAATTTTCTTTTACTGATCAGAATAAAGAAAATGTAATATACAAATTTTCTTTTACTGATCAGAATAAAGAAAATGTAATATACAAATTTATAAACACACTAGTTTCTGGACACGTGCGTTGCACGTGTATTTCATATTATGAGTATAAACTTTTGAAATGGCATAAATATTATTAAAAAAGTTATGTCAAGCATATATCATACAAAAAATTGAAGAGAAAAAATGCAAGCTGAAAACAACGAATGGTGAAAATGATATAGTTATTATGTGCTCAAAATGATTGGATAGAGTTTGAGTTGTAAAGGTAAACAATTCTATTTGGTTAGCTAGATATGTTTCTAATTATATTAATTTTCATTTTATGAGGTACAATCATGTTATATGATCATATATCTCACCTAATATATTTTTATAGACGATATTCTCAGAGTATGCTTCATTCTGACGAACGATTGCCCTATCATAACAAGAATTTTTGTTTACCGATTGACATTAGTATCATTTTTGAAAGTGCAATATCAAATTATCCATATAGCAAATATGGATAGAAATTGTAACTCTTTCGTACATACTATAGTTTTTCCGAAAGAATGTAAGAATAAGATGTTTGTACAAAAAATGCCAATTAAGTATAAAGCAACCAACAATAATAAAAATGGAACAAAAAGAAAATAAAAAATTTCCAATAAATGCGCAAAATGATACAATAATTAGTTAAAAATATGAATTGTATAGCCAATTTGAGCAACCTTACATCGACTAAAAATGGAAAAGAAGAACCAACATGGTTAGTATATTCAGCAAACTTTTCTCAAGGCATAATGCATTTGTTTTACTTCTAATAAACAAGAGAACTAAGTGAAGCAGAACCAAAAAGTATAAATGGATTGATTTGTTTTGGATGCTGCTTATTGACTCTACGATGGCCAGAGCTTTTCTCCTCTTCTTCTTATTCTTAACATCAGCTTGCCTTTATTCTGCTTTGCTGGCTTTTTGTCAACAGACTTCTTTGTCTTTGTAGCCATAAATATTCTAGAGAGGAAATTAGAAAGAAAAAAAATGAGTTAACAACATGCTAAACCAGAAATTAAAATTTAATGCGTAGATTTTAATAATATTTAGAGTCCTTTTTTTTAAGAAAAATAATATTTAGAGTCATATGCTATAATTTTAGCAGCAGAAAAAAGGAGTCATATGCTATAAGATTAGTATTCAAGTTAATGAAGTACTCCAATTCCTTGGACAAATGTGTTTCCCTTCTCCTTTTTTATTCCCCTTATTAATGAAAAGGCATCGAATACACTTCTAAGCAGAATATCAAGAAAAAAAATTATCGAACTTAGAACTTAATTCGAACTCCATGTCTGGAACTAAGTAATTGAAGCAAAAGATTAATTATACATGGGGTTTTAAGAATGCAAAATTAAGTGTGATGCATCTGAAAATAAACTTATTAATTGCCACTTCAATTTACAAATAATAACTATTGCCATTTTATTTTCAATTTCAACTACCATAAGAAGACAATAAGGAGAAAAAATAAGTAATACTGAGAACATTCAAAAAGAAGACTAACCATTAGAAGAATGTCTGCAGTGTTTATATTCAAGAGGTGGCTGCACTGACTTTTGAATTTATCAACTGGATACACCACAAAAATATAAGAATTGACAAAAATGATCCAGTAAGAGGTGTAAATAGCTCATGCTTTCTCCACTTAATCAGCATAAAATTCTCACTATTTAAACTTGACATGAGATTAATGTTCAAACGTGGTTTGATAAGTTTCTTTAGTATTTAGTGTTGGATTAAAGAGTCCAATCAATGTAGGAAGTGGAAGAGACTATCGGGCATAAAGGTGAATGTTACAAAATTTGAAGGGACTCTCGGGCATTAATACTGAATAGTGTAGCTGAAATTCTTTATTTAATTATATTTTTTCCTTTTTTATGAAGGTCAACAATAACAACCCAGTATAATTCCACTAGTGGGGTTTGGGGAGAGTAGTGTGTACGCAGACCTTACCCCTACCTTGGGGTGGAGAGGCTGTTTCCGATAGACCCTCGGCTCTCTCCCTCCAAGAACTCCCCACCTTGCTCTTGGGGTGACTCGAACTCACAACCTCTTGATTTGAAGTGGAACAAATTAATTTTAGATGGACATTTTCGTAATTTAACTTTTGATTTAGAGGCTTCCTACTTATAATATAGTATGATGATAAGTACACTGAAACCTAATTGGTCATGGCATCGGAAAGTAGACATCTCTTTTGGTTATTAATTTCCAAGCCGGAAGGGTCCTTTTTCACCAAAACTGTGTTGATTGAGTACATTTGACCGGAAAGACTAAAATTTATGTCACTCATGTTCATCTAATGATAAATTAGCCTTAATGAACTCCTTCAGTGTCTTTATCAAAATATGAATTCCTTCAATATATAACTTCCCTGTATCATCAAAGAGAAACTGTGCATGAAATCCTATAACAAGAAACTATCAAATGAATGTTTTTAGTGCTCGTAAAAAATAAAGAAAAATTAAATTGAGGAGGCGTGCCTTCATGTACTATGTCTATATTTGTATGTTATTACCCTATTTTATGCAGAGATTTCTTCAAATGTAATGGCTGCCCCCTTTAACTTCTTTATTAGTGTTATCCTAAATGTCAGCATGTGTATTTAACTTAGGATGTTTGCAAATTTGTGAGGGTAATGTTTTCTTCTGAAAACTTTGAACTGCTGATAACTTCAGTAAGAAGTTTGAATCCGAAGTGCTTTAGAAGGTAGAAATAGCTGAAAACAAAATAATAAATGCTTGTTTCTAGCAATACATTACCTTTGTGGTGCATCTATCGAATGGTATTCTGTTACATTCTGTACTAAAAGTGTTTTTCTTGTTAACTCGGTTCCCAGTAGAGACAAAAGATTTAAGAGATTACTTTTAATCTGTTACGTCTTGATGGACTGCATCCCCGTACAAGTGCCGGTGAGAGGTAGCCGGTGGATTAGTCAGACGTGCGCGCAAGCTGGCCTGGCTATCACCGTCATAAAAAAAGTGTTTTTCCTACTTACTCTGTTTATAGTGCTCTTTTCTTCTGATGTAAGTGCTGTCCGGTGAATCAGTGACTTAATGTTAGGGTCAGTTTTATTATCCAAAAGAATATGGGGGATTTTCAGTGGTTTTAAGTGTTGAAATTGGATTTCTCCCATTGGATTGCAAGAGAATAAAGATGACTATATGTGGTGTGTAACATTTCCCAGTTTTTCGTCTTATACTGCGAACTTGTAACAAATTCTCTTAGGCTTTAAATTTTGTACTAATTGATGATGTCCTCCATCTTTAATAATTTTAGTTCTTACAATGCAAGCTCTCGATTAATTTTTAGGACAAGCTGACTGTGACTCAATTAATTCTGTGACAAAGCTCGCCTCGAACTTAAATGTCCTGGTTTGGTTCTTTTATTAAAGGTCTTTATCTCCAACCAGTGATTGGACATACCACAATAGGTTATTGCAATTTTAATACTGATTTGAAAACACACTAGTGCAACATGCAACTTCTGGCACATCTACATTTTCTATTGGTGTATGTCCAGAAAGCTTTGGGTTGTTTAAGTATTATCTATGAGTTCTTAAGATCACTATTTAAAAAGCAGAAATAAGAGAAAACTAAAGGTATCAGCAAATAAAATGTGCAGTGGAGACACTTTTTGATCAGCAATTTTCTTTGTTGTATGACAGAGTGATGCAGATCATTTTCGAAATTCCAGCAGCCGAATTGACATCAAGAAGAATCAGAGCATCAGGCTCACTGACTTCCCTTCATCGCTGAAACCAACAACTGTAAATAGTCCACAATTAAGGAGGTCTTTTAGCCAAAAAGACATGTCGCAATTGCATGATGGCTACTCTGTAAGCCACAACAATTTATATTTGCTTATCTTTGAATAGTAGGGAGCTTATTAGCTTAATGTATCATTTCTCAGTTGCTGTTGCCCTTTGTTCCCATAATGTTTTGATTTTTGTGTGTCACTACATGCCTTTTGGCAATTTACTAAATATGTAATTCTTCATTCATATTAGAGTCACTCTTCTGCCTTGACTGACGATGACACAAAGGATGCTCTTACCTGTAAAAATGGCATCGAGAAAACCATTCGAGCGGTTTATGCGCAGAAAAAGGTTTACTTTGTTATCTGTCGAAGTAGCACACACTGACTTTTTCTTATGCCTTATCAATCGTTTTAAAAAAATATATATGTTTTTGTTCTTCAGGGTGAGCATCCAAATGGAGATGTTGTGAATGGTGAACTGTACGAAGCTATGAGAAAAGAACTCAGGCATGCTGTTGAAGAAATCAAAACTGAACTTGAACAGGTGTGTGATTTATTTGTTCCATGAAATAAGAAAAAATTACTTCTGCATAGTTAACGAGCTTGCTAACTATTTGATGTTTACTCATGCAGACCATGGGGAAGAAAATTAGTGGCGCCAAGTCAGGTCATGAGGCCAGAAAGAATCATGTAACAAAATTGGAGCAGGTATGTTTTCTCCATGCTTACATTTTCCCATCTTGTCGCACACGGGTCACTATGTTATGAGGTCTTTCTTCTAGTCTAATATTCTGCCTCCTTTTGCACACTGGTTCTGATTCTTCTTTGGCACTCACTATGTCATGCGATTTAATCCTTGGAAATTTAATGCCTCAACATTCTTTAATATTAAAGTCAGAGAAGTGTAATCAATATCTGCTTGATGAAATTCTGCAGGAAGACCAAAGAGGTAGGGCTGATACAAAAAATTCTGTTGTTGCGCAGAAACAACCACGTAGGAAGGTCTCTCCTTTTTTTTAGTTGAACGGCAATTTCCAACCTTCTTGATTAGCTATTATTCACCTCTATAGTAGATCCTTTATTACTAGCTTTTTACAATTTTCCAGAGAAGCAATGATAGAAACAGGACATCAAAACAATTGAATGAGGAGGCAGAGAAGTTTTTTGAGGATTTCATTGCAAATATAGAAGATACAGATTTTTCTTCTTTTGATGGAGAAAGAAGTGATGCAAGTTCAACATTAGGAGGAATAGCTAAGCCAAGGGACAGTTTTACTTATGGGGAAGCAGTTAACCAAAGTCCTGCAGGAGCTAATTGTCATCCTGTTGGAACTGATGGGGTTATCTTACCTTGGTTGCAGTGGGAGACAAGCAACGATGGTTCTTTCACTCCCAAGAATGAAGTGCCAACTCCTGTTAGTAGGAAAACGTCAATATGTGATGCAAGACAGGTAAACTGATACTTTGTTTTGATCTGGTATGCTTGTGTTGTGATGGGATATCAACTCCTATATACGCACTTAAGGCTAGATGTCTTTTATGGTTATATAGTTGGCAGAACTTAGTTCCTGTTAATTGCCCTATTAATTTTTGGGACTTCGTCAGCTCCTTAGCTTTAGCCTAGTTTTTAGCTGTAGAGCTGACTATGTCTTCATGTTTCTCTCTTTTGTACTCCTTGCATCTTCTTGATGCCTTTAATGCAATTGTCTTACTTCATCAAAAAGAAGAAAAAAAGGTGCTGCCTTTGGTATGACGTACTAGCAAGAAATTAGGTGCTGCCTTTAGCTATATTTGCTAGATGATTGGATTTCTTTTGGGAATTAGTTTCTTTGGTTGGCTTCAAGTGGTCAAACTAGGAGGATGTTGACTAACTCTGGTCAGGTGAGGAAGTACCATCATTTTGCCTATTTGGTGATTTATCTTGCTAATACTTCTTCATAAGGAAGACCTGGAAGCCTTTCCATCTAAAAATGCTAGACATTAAACAAATTCATTTACTTAACACAAATTGCTTGAAGTTACTTTTCCAGCCGTGCCATTTAAGTTTACGCGTTCACTGTAGTAGTGTGGTAGCCATATAATTTGTACATATATAGTAGTAGTAAATGCCATTCTATTCCCTTATGACATCTATTGTACTTTGCTCCAAATTACCTTCTTGTAGGACGTCACCTCCCCTCAGAATGATCGTAGTTATTCCATCAGCAGCCATGGGAGTTGGAGCCCAGCAATTCTGCACAGTCAACCGAAGAATAGAGCAATCTATACAGTTGAAGATGGTGGAGACGTATCCGGAGAACTTGAAAGTTGCCAAAGTTCAGGATTTGATATGGCTGAATATAACAGACTTCAACGAAGTGAAGAGCTATTGTTTGAAAGGTACAGAGAACGAAATAGAATTAGTTTAGGTGGTCTTTTACTTTGTGGCCATTTTCTCTAGTTACTTTATGTTGCTGATACTCATTTGCAGCTAGTAAAGTATATAAATTACTCGAGTTATTTTGGAGTACCAAAACTTACGTGTAGTCATTCTTGAAAGTTGGAATACGCTACAAAGTAGTTCATACATGCCCACACCGAGCATTCTATGTTTATTTTCCCTGCAATTTTGAAAATGTATCCTTCTGTGTTCATTATTTCTGATCACTATAATATGACGGTCAAATTCCCAAAAAAAAATTATGGATCAATTTGTTTTTTATTGCCAAAACTTTGTGACGAAGAGTTTCAATGATGTAACTAGCCATAAACTGAGAGAATTCTGTCAACCAGCCCCAACTCCTACTAGAAAAGAAAAGGGGATGATTTGTTTTTTTTTTTTTCATATTTTATGGCTAGCCCCAAAAACTTCATATTTTATGGCCATAAACTGTTTTTTTTCACAGTTTCAAAATTTTTCCTGCTTAAACGTCAAATATTTGCCCAAATGGGCAAATTTTGGCTTTTCTTCACATGCTATTCATTCATTAATTGCTTTGTTTGCTTTAGCTGATTACAGTCACGGAAGGATTTGCTAAAAGATATGACCTTAAATTAATAAGTAAATTCTGAGGTTTATTAAAGATCGTAGAGAATACTATTCTCGGGTTTGGAGAACTCGTAAATGGTAGATGCAATATTCCTTGGTTATGTCGCTAGAGCCTAGTAAGACAACTATGTAGTTATACTAATAGCTTAATAAAAATCCGACATTCGTTTTATATTTGGTTGGACACACACAATGGAAAGCGGGTTTCATTTTTTTCAATGCCAGGTCAATCGCATTTTGGTTTTTACCTGATTGTGTTTAACGGGCACATTTTCGGCAAGGTAAGATGTTCAATAGATTGAATACAAAGTGTTTAAATGAAAATAGTGCCTAATTTAGAGGGTAGTCATTGGTTTGGCCAAGAGCAAAAGGATAAAAGTTAAAATCTTCGCCGTATTCGTTTATAGATGTTTTTGACAGAGATGAATTCAATGCATGCGAAAAGGGATGATCGAAGTTTTCTGCGTCGTTATTGACGTGGATGAATCTATAAATTGAAATTCCTCCGCACTTCCAAGTTTTATCTTAAGATAAGTTTCAAATTTGGTAACATTTTGAGTTCTGTCATTTATTTTACACAGTTAACAGAAGAGGAAAAAAATTAACTGGATAGTAGTGTAACTAATAATGAGATTTGAACTCGTAACACTACAGTACAAATTAAATGAGAGAGGAACAACCTTGAGATGCTGAAACTATTATGTGGGTTAATGGGTTTCAATATTCCCAAATATATCATAGATACTGAATTCGGTAAAAAAAAAATCTTAACATGATGCAATATAAGTGTACGTCCACATTATGAAACCACGAATTAAAGTTCTGATGTTTAATAATAGTGTTAATCCAATGTTAGTCGTCATCAATCGTAGAGTCATTTGATTTCATAGCACATTTGGTTCGTTTTACTGTAACCAACAATTTGCAAAAGTTCACTATGTGAATAACTGAATATGCATGCATGGACTGGTTAATTAGGTAGAACTCCCACCCTATCTTTGTATAAAGGGAATTAAATGTGGATTGTTGTGTACTGTTTACCCGAAACACGGATAACAATTGGATTTATACGCGGCTCTAAGGATACGTGATATATTTTGGCACAAATTGAATATATATATATATATATATATATATACATATATATTGAAATCAACTGTAAAAGAAATAAATACAAACCAAGTGAATCAATTAGCCTTGGCCCTCAAGTTCGATCACCCTCAAACCAAGTGAAGATTCCGCTAATATATGAACAGAGTAACCAAATATTGAAGGCCGAAAGAAGATAGTATATAGCTTTTTATTGTGTGAATGTTGTTTTTTTTCTACAAATGATCAGACCCCCTTTATATAGTAGAGAAGTCCTACTCTCAATATAATTCTAAATACAGTAAGAAATCTCATGATAGATTAATTAATTGGCCTCTCTTTGATATGCGCCGGGATTTCCGCCGAGATTCTCGCCCAATTACGGATATTCCGGCTTTCTGTTTTTTGGCTCGATAAGCTTTCCTCGATCTTGGCTGATCTCGATCTTGATCGGGCTCTATTTTGCTCGATCTCGATCTTTATCGGTCTCTATTTTGCTCGATCTCGATCTTGGCCGATCTTGATCTTGATCGGTCTCTATTTTGCTCGATCTCGATCTTGACCGATCTTGATCTTGATCGGTCTCTGGGTCACGAGCCCGGCAATTTAACTTCACATCAGGGCTCAATATCACACGAGGTTGAACCTTGGTCTATCATATTCCTGTCTCGATTAGTCGTACGAAGGGCAAGCTCGATTTTGAACGTATACAGATAGTCCCCTCGTTTCTCGGAAAGAAGATGGCGAGAAACGATATGAATTTCCGAACTCCAACTCGATGGGTAATGACGTCAGCGATGAGTCTGATTATGACGTATGCGACGAAACGTCCCGTCAGTCCAGTTACCAAGGCATTAAATGCATGTCAGTTGCTGGTCGGCCATTACCGGTTCCGAACCGTCGCCAGCAACCTATAAGAACCTTATCTTTCCTCATTCAAACTTTACACTGAAAGCTCTTTCTACTCTTGCTTCTTCTTCAGAAAATTCCTTTGCTTCATAATTTTCACACCCAAATTTCTAGAACCCTAATCAAACCGCATATCATCCTAATTCTCTTTTCCCTTGATCATCAATGGCAAAAACCTCCAAAACCGTGCCGCAAAAAGAGGTCGCTTCTTCATCATGACCAACCGGTGGTGAGGATGCGGTGGAGCCCCACCCTGAGGAATTCATTCCGGTAGGGTGCCCAAATGTCTCGACTTTAAGGTCGAAAAAGCCTCCTCGGTACCGGGCCAATGTGAGGCGATCTCGAGGTACATGTGCTCAATCACCGAGAAAATCCTCGACAAAGTGAAAAAGGAATGCAACTGGGGAAAAAAGCATGTGGTAGTCCCATCGCCCGAGGAATCGATTACTACCCATGTGGAGGGGTTCCTAAGTGTTTACACTTAGCCTTTCACGTTGGGTCCCTTAGACCCGATCATCGTCGCCTTCTGCAAGAGATACGACGTGACCCTCAGCCAGATCTATCCTTCCTTTTGGAGAATAGTGATTCTCCTTCGATTCTTCTCAAGCAAAATCGAGGGGTGTTTTTTCACCCTCGATCACCTTATGTGCCTTTACATTCCCCGACTCTATCGAGGAGGGCTGATCAAGCTTGCTCGCCGAACTAACAAAGCCCCGTTCTCGAGCATAGATGAGACTCGTGACCGAGGTTGGATGGGCCGATTTGTCCGAATAAGGACGTCGGACCTGATCCCTGCTGAAGACATGTCGTTTCCTGAGAAATGGAACATGAATCGTAAGTAGTATTTCCCTTTGAACGTTCAATTTTGCTATTTTACTTTTCATTTTCTTTGTTGTGGCCCAGATGCCGGAACCGATTCCAGAACTCAAGCAATGGGTCGAGGGCCTGGTGTCGCAGATACCATAATCCGAGCGTGCTTGGATCGAGTTATCAAAGGGTCGATAAGAGGCCCGCAATTATGATAAGTTTCTCTCTTAGAATGGTTATCATTTGACCTTCTTCTCTTGATTACTCCCTTTTATTCCTTTGTAGGCCTCGAGAAGGATGTTGCAATGAGGCCCCCATATGGTGACGAAGAAGTCCTTCCATTTGCTCTAAAGCAGGCCAAAGAGAAGAAGAGAAAAGGGGCTTCGAGTTCCCTAGGCTCGGAAAAGAAAAAGTCGGCGAGGAAATCTCGCAAGCTTAAGGGGTACGCTGGTGCTATGCCTTCGAACTTGATCCGCCGATTAAGGGATGAGCCCGAAGAAGGAGAAGAGGAAGATAATTCTAAACTAGTGGTGCGTGTGCGGGATGATGTTTTGATACAAAGGTCCTTCGAATCAGCGGAGGTTGATGAGAGAGCTTTGGCCGAAGTTCCTGAACCAAAAAGAGTTGAGGCCACTCCATCCCAAGCTGAGATGGTCGAGAGAGAGACCGGGGACGAGGCTTCCCGGGCAGCGGAAGATATCCCGACGGACGAGCTCGGACTAATCGATATTTCTGGATCCCCTCAGGTTTCGGACGCTATGATCTGTGAGGCCAATATGTTGGAAGGTCGCTCTTACTAGGGTCTTCAGGGGGCGACTGATATCTATGGCTTCTTGGATGGGTTTGAGTCCGCTGCCTCAGAGGATGTCACCGAGTTTGGTGGTTTACCGGTACCGAAGAAGGTACCATCATCGGGCGTTATTGGGTCTTCATCGAGCCCAAAACTAGTGGACCGATTCCCGGCCCATAGTGTTAACCCCGACTGTAGGCGGAATATAGTGCTTTCTGTCCCGGTGGATGTCCGGATTTTCTCTCCCCCCGTAGGGATTGCTAGTTACTTTAGATCCTTGGTGACCGAGGAAAATCAAGCCGTGATGAACGCGATGGGAGCCACTTACTTGTTTAATGAGGCCCATCATGCTCTGAATTGGGTAACTTCGAGGGTCTCTCATTATTTCTTTTAAACTTTGGAGTTGTAGATAATTCTAACATCTTCTTCCTTATTTGTAGGCTTCGGTGTTGCATTATGAGGCTTTCCTTCGAATCTGGGAGGAGCACAAGGCTGAGGTTCGGGACCTCACTGAGAAAAATGATACTTACAAGCTTCTTAGTGAGAGGCTTTAGGCCGATTTAGTGACGGCTCGGGATGAGCATGTCGAGATGGCCGAGCAGGTATTCCAAGTTTTTCACGATAGTGAAGATAAATTGGAGATAACTACTAATGATCCGATTCTGCATGTCCGGCAAAGGCTCGAACAAATTGGACGGCTCCAGACGTATGTAGATGCGGTACAGGCCGAGGCAGAAGAATTCAAAAAGAACATGAACATCCTAGCTTCAAAAAAGGAAACTGTTCAAGTGCAATTGGAGTCGGCCGAAACCCAGCTCCAAGCTGCAAAAGAGAAGGCCCCAGTGCAGGTCGAGAAGCTCAAGGAGCTTCAGTCTCAGTTGGATTTGGCCGTTTATGATAAAGCAAGCTTGGCCAACGAACTCGAAGTGGCCAGATCTGAGGTGGTCGTGG